CCCCAAAACCCCAAAACCCCAAAACCCCATTGGCAATAATCATTTTATTTATAATTGAATCAAAAGCATATAATTTCTTGATAATATTTAAATATCTAATAATCTCTCTAATATCGGTAGTCAATTAAAAGACTAGTTAGTTATCCTTATCTTCTTACTCTTCACTTGCTAAACCCTTTTACTTTACCCAATAAATTTCTACTAATTATTATCCCTAGTGGCAATACTGCTATCCATAAATCCAAAGTTACCTCCTAAGGTAAAATTCATGCCATTCTCCATCAAGACTGAGCTGTTCATAGTCATCTGTAGATCATTCGAGTTAGATCGCTAAGTGCTAGTCTGTTTAAACAATGCTCTATTGAGTGTAACATTTCTAGATGAATTCCTGAATGAGGTGTCAACCTGTGTAGATACCATTGGTGATTTTTGTGCAGACTATTACTACTACTACTGCTGATTCCTTTAGTCCTATTGCTTAGTGATGGTTTAAATAAGTCTTCGAGTCCTTGGATCATCTATGGTCTTTATAAGGTCGAAATGCTTCTCCTTTCGCTAAGTCATTAACATCTGTTAAGAATCCACCAACTCGTCAACAGTATATGAGTCTGAGAGCTTTTTGCCAATGTTATCCAACTAAGAAAGTGAGCTTTGTGGCATATGATCCAGCTGACTGTTATTTCTTGCTATATTCTTAATAGAATCAAAGTCATTCTTGGCAATGAAGAGTGCTTTCTGAGACAATATACCCATTTAAGAGTCTTTATCATTGTTATAGATTAGCATCTCTGAAGAGTTGTTAAGATATTTATCAAAGTGTGTGGGAGAATCCTTTTTATCTTGCCTCTTCGATTTAATTGAGAAATTCACCAAGGAGTTTGAGCTATGGTCACCTAGGGCTGAAGGAATGATATTTAGAAGCTTTGAACCAGCCTTTGAAGCTCTGATCACTTCTTGAATCTAGGCTACCATTTCATCATGAGTTGCATTTTTAAGATCAAAAGCATTAAGTTCATGTCTGAATTTAGGAATCTTAATTGCAAGCCCCATTAGATGCATATCATCCTGCATCTTATTATTTAGTTTAGTTAGCTGTGCAATGCTCGCCTCCTGCACAGACATTTGTAAATCTGATAGGCTCTTGTAGTTCACATACTCGTTCTTTATCTCAGAGTACTTGCGATTATAGTCATCGTAGACTTCCCTAAACTTGGCTTCAAAACGCTTTTGCTCTTTTTCAGCTTCGTTTATCTTGATTCGCAGATTTGTCTCCAAATGACTGATTTGATTATTCATATTCTCAAAGTTCTTAATATAAACTTCAATGACAGTTTGAAGTGCCTGGTTCTCATTCTACTTGTAAAACAACTCCTCCTTGAGCAAAGCCACTCTTTTGAGGTAGTTTTACACCAAATTTGACTCTATTATCTCGTCTTTACAGTTCATAGATAGCTGTATGTATCCTGCGTAAAAGGACATTGGTTCTTTAAGCAAAGTGTTATGAGCATATATTTCGGCATCTGAGACTAGTTCTACTGCCCTCTCATTTTCATCCTACTTGATGATTGTTAGATCCTCTACTAAATCAATATATTTGCTAGGTATGACTGAAAACAGCAGATCTCTCTAGGTGATTTACTACTCTTACTCTTTACAAATTTTCTTAGCATTTTTCAATTCCTTACTCATTGAATCCCACTAGGACCGCATCAATCCGAATTAAGTCATAAGCTGTTCTATCTCGCCAATATACATGCGCTTGATATTTTCAAAGACTTTATTAATCGTGTCTCTTGCTTTCAGCTTAGATGTAAACTGCACATTCCTAAACTGAATTTGAAAAGCCTTTTTAAGTTTATGCAAAGACTGAATAAACTGTTTTCTTTCATAGGCTAAAATGCCTAAATTTGATATTCTATCATTTATTGATATCTCCTATCCTCTGACTTACTTACTCAGGTATTCCTAAACATGCGTTGATAATCTCTAGGAATGAGCCCTAAGGTAAGTTTCCAGCTTCGTCATGAACTTGTCCTTGCCCTTAAAGTCATCCTCATGCTCATCTTCCCAATACTCATTCAAATCTGAGTCAATCTCCTCGTCAGCCTTCTCTGACAATCCGAGACCTTACTCATCTTTGATTAATGCATAAGACATCTGCTCATCCTCAAACACTTTTTCGCTTAAAGACATTTTGCTAGATATTTCATCGTTTTAGACAGGCTTTCTGCCTATTGTAAGCAAATTAGTATCTTTATAGTCTGGCAATTTAGCATCTTCTTTCATTTAGTTGAGCATTTTAAGTCTTGACTTTTCAGTAATAATATCCAACTCACTGAAATCTTTCTCCTACCTTAAGTTTAGCAACTAGAATTTCTATAGCCCCTCTTTATTCCCTTTGTTCTCTTTAAGCACCTTATACTTGGCCATCTCTTTGTAGCTTAAATCTTAGATGTCAATAGGCTCTTCAGCATTCAAACTTTACTTTATTTGCTTGAAGTCAGTTTTATTGCTGAAGTAATCATGGAAGTACTATTGATAGCCATTTGTGGTATCGTATTATATTTTTTATAAAGGAGGAAGAAGTAGATCTTCGTATTTTTCGTACGCTTGAGCTTTCTTTGATTTGTAAGACATTGTCTAATTCATCTGATTTGGATTTGCATCATTTCTAGAAATAGCAGTATTCAATTGCACCTGGTCTATATGCTGGGTTTAATTGAGTCAACTGTTATTAAAGCTGCCAGATCTTTAAGAGTAATCTATACTTTGTAGATTTCTTCTCTAATTCAAAGTTCTTCTTGTTTCCTACTCTAAATCTTCTATGCTGGCCTACAGAAGTATATTTAATGCACCAGATATATTTGGCAATAATATGCACTTACATTGAGGATATGTTTATTATCAGGGAAGTGCTTGGAGAATTCTTTGATGATGATAGATGATTTTTAGTTTTGAAGGCTCTTAAGTATTTCCTTGAATCTCTATTTCTGCTCATTGACAGATCTTATTTCTAGTTATCTATCCTTTCTGCGAGATTAGTCTCTTTGCTCTTGAGTTATCACTATAAAACATAAAGGACGAGAAGGGTATTACGAGGATCCAACTTCATTAATTTTATTTTACAAAAATTATAAATTTTAACAATTATGCCAGCATGCATTACAATCACATAAATCTAACCTTATGGGGTTTTGGGGTTTTGGGGT